CACAAATATTTAACATGAATGAAGAGAATATAATGAAAACACAGAGAGTAATCATATTAAAACGAAACCTTATTTATTTAGATTATTTAATTCATGATACATTGTTATTCAAGTATAGTAAATAAGAAGTAATTTAATTAACTTCCAGTCTTATAAAACATTTTTTTCAACAACAACAAAATGTAAGACACCTATATAATTTGTGTGAGAACTAGTTAAGTTGTGACTTCAGTGACCTTGTAAAGAAATCTATCGGACTTACATGACGATCCACGATTATCATATCAGATGATTCAGATCGAAGTAGACCAAGCGAATAGAAACGTATGACCAAATGAGTAATCCAAGGTCAAATTCCAAACTACATCAAGACTACTGACGTAAACCATAACTATGTTGTTAATTTATACAATTTTTTTTCAAGATTTTTTGATATCGGTATCCTTATCATAGTTCTTTTTATGTACTAAATTAATCATTAGTGAAGATTTATTCAAAAATATTATCGCAACTTCTCCTTTCTTAAATAATAAATTACTATATATTTGGACAGATTTTTAAGATGTTTAACATCCCACAGCACAATGATTATTTACGGTTAGATTACTGTGATCCATTCTGATTAAATACTAGTCGTTAGCGTCTATTCTCTAACTTTAATGTTATTAAGTCTACATTCCGTAAGTCATTATCATGTCGAGATGGTTATAGATCTAAAGTATAACTCGACTGGTGGAAAACAGGTCACATTATTACTCCCTCAACATATTCTTGACACAAAGAATAGTTTAACACTTAATCACGACGATATTAATCAGGTTCACATACTTCATGCCCAATGCTATCCTTTGTCTTAAACTAATTGTTCTATAGTCGGTCAGAATTAGTGATGGGATAATCAATGTGAATATAAATGCTTATAGTAACTAAATTGTTTTTTTTCCTACAATAAGCTTAAAATCAACGTCAATCTTAGTAATAAGTAACCATAAACAATAATACACAGTCGTCTGTTATATTTATCATCTATGGTTTTACTAAATTCATGGAGGTTTGACGGCTAGAATTCTCTATGACTGAAACTAGACGAAATTTAAACCCTTTAATCATTTTGCTTAATGAATATTATATTCTCTCAGAGTACATGAAATGGAATAACTAGTCCGAACACTCTGACTGTAATATATTTGATTCATATAAAATGTCTAATAACTAAACAAAAATAGTTTGCATGAATACACATGTCATGTCAACTATGATTTGCTAGTTTTACAACCAAAACTTCACTCTTCGATGGATTTCAGAACATATACATACACATCAACGACCAATTATTCACAGTCAATCAACCTAAAAGCCACATACGACTCTGTCGATCGAGAGGTTTCAACAAAAAGAGTAATATGAGGGGTATCTTTCAGTCGAGTACGATCACTCAAATCAGAGCTTATAATGAACTATCATCTAAACCGGTCTACTTTATTTATTTATCTTATACACTCATAGAGGTAGCACTTTCTTCACATAACTTCTCAGGGACCAACGCACTTGGGAACTCTCTCAAAGACTTGGAGTATACTAATGATACAGTCCCATTCGGTGAGGATGCTAACAAAATGTAGTCGTTTTACAGACGTCATTGATAATGAAAGAACGTTTGAAATCCACTTTTATGCTTATAAGTGGTAGTTTGTTTCGAGTGAATTATATCGACACCCGACCCTAATCAAGAAAGTAAAGTAATCGAGTTTTGACCAATTTAGACTTATCTTAAGAGTATTATAACCCTCGGAGGGTAAGTGACTGAATAAACTTCGACGATAATAAAGAAAGATCCCTCAGCTCTTGTTGTTATGAAGGAAGCGTTTTTTATTTGAACACATAAATATTGGTAAAGGGGCACTGAATACATATGTGCCACACAAGTCATTTGATTTGTGTGGGATGTGATATTGCCCTGGTGCCTAGACCGAAGCAGGTGGTTTTCTCAGGGGTCACTCACCAAACCTTTTACCTAGAGGTCTAGTCCACAAAGTAGTAAAACGTTAGAAGATGCAGTCCCATGATAGCCAGTGACCAACAATAGGTTCATATATCATTTGTTCCCTCAGGATCCTGGAGTTCATGCACACCACTGATTTGGAATCAGGGTTTTCCAACTCCCCTATGTAGATCCTCTGTACCCACCAACCCGATTAAAGCACCGGATATTCGCTTTTCGTCCTCTCAATTTCGTAAACAACAGTAAGGCCACAAGAAGGCAGTGAATAGGACTTCCCTGGCAGTGGCTGTTTACGCGTAGCCATGTGAGAGCATTTCGAGAGGGAGAGTTAACTCTCCCCATCCTCGGTCGTACCATGGCATTTGGGAGTAGGTAAAAATTTCCATTTTCATACCTGGAAGTTAGGATACTTTGCAGTTTTTAAAACTGGCTATGACATAAGCAACGTGGTGAAACTTGACCATAAATGTTTCTGATTCATTGTATGTAGTAAAACTACCAAATAGTGCTGAAGTTAAACGTAAGGTCCCGGGTACAAGCTTTTGAATGATGAGGCTTTAAATCAGAAAAGACGTGGACTGGTGACAAACAGATAAAAATATTTCCTGTACTTCGTATAACTTTAAGTACCTTATATTTAACCAATTAGCTATGCTAATTGACTAATTCACATTGGATAACAAAGTAGTTGGGATAACATTGTCACATAACATAACGAATCATGAAATAGAGACCGAAGCCTTATCATGAGCCAAGCATATGTTGCACAACGTTAATTCCTTGCTCAATATTCAAAAGACTACGTTAAGAAATTATCTTCCATCTGAGAAGTTGGTGATAAGATTAATTACTCGCGTACAGACAGTGAAAATAATGGACAGAGACTGATTTACAATTCGTTATTGTTTTTTCGATAGCTGTAACATACTCAAAAACACTGCTTTTAAACTATAGAACATTCTTAGAACGCCAAATAAGATAGACATTTCTGAGATCTTAACTTGTGATGGGCAGAAGTACAATTAAAATGCATAACAGCCTATACTGTATTGAAGGAAAACTACATTATAGTTCTACACAGTATTACAAGGAACTTTGAATGCACACACTTTTTACAATAGGCTTACTTTTATGAGTCCTATAGGGCGAGATAAATTTAGCGGAATTTATAACTATGGTGGAATGTACATTAATACCTAGTTTCAACTACTAACATTAGCTTGAAGAACATCAATTCATAACAGCTATTTCGGCTTATTTCATTACAATCTGGAGTTAAGACAATAATCTGAGTCTAAGTATATGACTCAAACGAACTTCGTCATCAATTAAAGTCAATCAAAACAGTTGAAATGTGATAGCCCATATTTCTAGGAATTAAGCTTGCTTATCTTTCTAAATGATAGAAAATACCATCGACCTCACGGACAAATGAGATTTCGTTAGCTGTTATTAATCATGCTTAATAGTCTATGCTATTTTCAATCTTATAACACGAATTTAGACCGATTTTTTCGTATGTAGTTACGTAGGCTCTCCAGTTCCTACACAATGAATCAAGATACGATATAGACAAAACTTTAGTAACCGAGTTGTGCTGTCAAAATATACAAATAATGAATCCATACAGCGAAACATGACGGGAATTTATGGATGGGAACATTACTAGCAGTAAATGCTATTACATAGTGTGACAGTTAATAAATTCTTGAAACACTACTATTTTTGTATACCTACAAGCTAGTGTATTAAGACATGACAACCAAACCAAGAAAATGTTACGCAATACCAGATGTTTCAACCCTATTTTTGTTTCTGGACATACAATGAGATAGGAATTTCGATCACATGAACAGTGGAACATGTAATGTTCATACTATCCAACTGGTCACATAAGATAGTAAATGAAGCATGAGTTTATCTCCGGAGATATCTAGACTTACTACAGGCGAACGTCGGAAAGAACGGATTCCTCCTAAAGACTATCTTACTGGGTTAAATTGATTCTCAAACACATTGTGCAACATTAATACGTACCTAGGGGTAGTTTGCAGTAATGAATCAAATGTGATTTGGACCACAAGTTTGACTAGTGGTAGTTCGAAAAGTGTTTCCACATTGAACTTTAAACTACATTCATAGCTTGAAATGTTATTCCAATGGAGATGGAGCTCATGCTTTATTACCAGTGGTCTAAAATTAAAAGGCGTAGTCAAACCAATGAGCGATTAATTTACGAGCATAAAATTATCACCATATTCAGCTTGTTCCTATGAGACCGGATATTTAAAAGAATCTATTGGTAAATTGAGCTGTAACATTTATGAAACTAAGGAAGTCTCATTGCTCACAATTTTCACAACCTATGAAACACGAGTATGTCTTCAATACCACACCTTACTATCATTGTCACAGCTGTGTTTTTAAGCACAGAAACTACGTATAGATTTCACTTTGATAAAAGGCGAAATTTCCACTACCAAACAGAAAGTATTGGAAAGACTCAAGATGAAAAACTAGGCAAACTACTTAATCGCCAAATTAAGGAAGGATGTATTAAAGCTATAAAACAGCAGTGAGTGAAACTGCAACTACTTAAATACAAGGGTGTGTTATCTCACTGTAAATGAAAGTAAGATACTTTATATCACAAAATGTATAGCTCTACACTTTCCCTACAATGATCGGTTAATCTGACCAAAAATGTGAACACACTGAGCAAAATACATTGACTGAACTAACCACAGAGTGGAAACATTCGTCCACCTGTATAATGAGAGACTATAAAAACACGGACTAAAATGCTGATTAATCGCAGTACAAAAAATGGTAAGAGTACATACGACAAATCTCAGTCAGTTAAAAACGCTGAAACGATATTGTACCGACCACCTAGTAAATCGAGACAAAACATAAATAGCCTTAAGCGCTTCCTACAGGGGATATATTGTTTTACCCATCCGAATATCCCAATCACATAAACAAACGGAACGAGGTATGCAAAAGACGAAATGGTTGATTTGAACGAGATCAGTTGTTAAGAGACCCAATTAAATGGATCATAAATGAAACAGATTGAAAGCAGACAATATATAGACAATTTGAAAAGGATCAATATTATTACAAGCAAATTAGGGTATTAACATGGCAGATTGCCTTTAGGAAATAAACTTCGTTTACAATAAAACAGCTGCCATTGTAGGGATATTTCGAAATAACAACTTTAATGAGGAAAGAATTGTCTTATTTACAAACAGATCAATCAGGATTTATAAGTTTGTCACTTGAATATCAGGCAACACATAAGGTTTCTAACATTAAATGTACAAACAATCACAGCTAGCAAATTTGCTGCCGTTAAAAACTGGACAAAATCACTAAAAAATAATGCAAGTGCATTAAGCACCCACGCTGGATAGATGATCAGATTATCTTTAAAAGCATGTATACCCTTCGCAGAAAAATACTATACAAAGTTCATATTGGCATACATATGCCCACGAAGCACATTATAAAGCCGCTGCCGAAATTGCACGTGACTTGTAAGCTGGAAAAGACACGAGACAGTCCAAGAAATTTCAGTGATTTGTGTATAGCACGAGATTCAGAAGCATAGTGACTCATTCATGAAAGACATATCTGGCATCCGCACAGAAATATTAGGTGAGTACTCGAGGAATATACGACAACGAATAAAGTTGAAGGGATTAGATAAACGGGGAAATATGTTAAGCGGTTTAATTCAAAATCTGCTAGATACAGCAGGCAACTATGAGGGCTCTCGAATATTATTCAGTAAAATGCAAAATAGAGCAGAATCACAGTTTGCATTACGCACCAACAGTGGGAAGGATTAAGATAATTTAAAACAGGAAAGGGAATGTGCGTTTAAAACTAATATGTCGGTAGAAGTATGAGAACAGTCCTAAATATCAATTACAATTTACTCAATAGTTTCTAAAAACTCGTAGTCACTACCTAATTGACATGACCAGCGACAGTAAATACTTACCGAGAACTGAAAATAAATAAAGTTCAGAATACGTATGATGATGATAGAGGATAAACGTCGAGCTGCTACAAATTAGTAATGTTTTTTAACAAAGCGGAAATTCCAGACCAGATAATTGAACACATAAATAAACTGCACTATCAGTGAACACAATGTGAGGAAACTGATTGGCACGATGTGACTGAAAGCCGTCGAAATGTCCAATTTGCAGCATTGACTATGATGCACGCAAATGAAAAAATTCTGAGTAGAATGAACAACAAACAGTCGACGAAGGAAATAACAAGAGGATTGGGTACAAATCGAACATATTTAGCAAGCCCTGCATATCTTGCTTGAATATGATGACACACATTGAGATCTATCATTGATACAATAAGTTAGTGAGTTTTCATTTGGAGATACAACACCATTAGAAGATATAGTGATTTCCTCAAATCCTGAATCTGAACTACTTGCATCGAAAGCATCCAAACCGACAGGTGAACTGCTTATAGTACCGATGGGTGAACTGAGACTTCTGTGTTTGGATATGTGTAAAACAAAGTTTGGATCATTAACACATGTGTTGAGACCCGCTGCTGCTGTATTGGATAGTTGTGTATTGTTATTTAAAGACGGTGTAGTTATATTAGATAAAGAACCAGATCGTAAATCCATTTCAGAATCGTCTATAAAGAAATAAGATAGTATTTTAGAATCATAGGAACCATTGTAAAGCGGTTCAATGAAACAAATCTTACCTGAAGATGTAGTCGCAATGGAACACTCTGAACAGTTGCGATTTCTTTCTTTCCAACTCTGCAGTTTTAATGAACGACTTCTTTTCTCCTCCAACTTTTTTCTAAGAGCCTGGCGTCGTTTGAGCAATTGGACACATCTTTGTTTCTCACTATCTTCATAGACCTCAAGACACTGCTTTTTCTGTTTTAAAAGCTGGACATTAAAAATAACATAGATATCAATAACCAAAGTTATCGAAAATAATGTATTACAAATAGTAGAAAATCACTTATTCATGGAACGTACTTGTATAGTAGCTGTTGCCTTTTTTAGAACTGTCAGCATAGTTATTCTTGGTACGTCATTATCGAAATTTAAGTGCTCTTTTAGGGTCTCCATACAAGTACGAAGGTGTGCACGGCTGCAGGAACTGGGTTTACATTTTCATTTATGAACTTACCGACTTTTTTCAAGCTCATTGTGTGTGCATCTAAATGAATTTTAGGATTTTCTGAAGAAAAAACTTACCTCACAGATGTGACTGGTCGTTTTTGTGAGCTATAGCTGTGAGGACAGGAGTATGATGAATGTGTTTCATCGTAATTTCTCTGAGATCTATGTTCCCACTTATCTGTACTATAGGAATACCGATGTAATGTTTCTAGATAAAATTGTAAAAGTTGGCACTTTTCATCCTACCTTCTTCATCCAACTTCTTGGCAGCTTGTAAAAGTAATAGAAGACCATTTTTCTGTGGATGGCTAACGGACATGGACAAAAACCAGACAGAAATGCGACAACTACGTCCACTACCTTTTTATTCCAGCATGAATCGCTTCTCTGCCTTGACCTTGGTTTATATAGCAAAGACCTTGTGTTTTGATTGGCTTTCACGTTAGTTACAAATAGTCGATAAACAAGCGGATTTCGTTTGTCAAGCATATAAGCTATGACAATATATAGTAACCAATCAAATTCATGTTTTAATAAGAGCTTCTATATTTTAACGAATTAAAATGGAGAGATTTAGCCTGAGTGAATACTTCATTTGCTGTTTCCTTGTACCATTCGAAAGGCAGGTTGGTGGGAAGCATAACAGGCTGCATTGGGCTGAACCACATGATCCATCACATTTAATGTGATAATTTGCGCAGATAACAACAGCTTTAACCCATAGCTTGAGGGCCCTGGAAGCTCCTTTATTTTCCTTAAATTTTGGTTTAAGCCTGGTATTTTTACGTAACTGAACATGGTTAATTGTAATAATTCATGTAACTATCGCATTTGAATAATGTAAGATCCCGCTAATGAAATAGCATATGACTAAAGGAAATGCCATTTGATACAACATGATGTACTTAACTTAGAACAATACTTGTAAATGAATTACAGGAGACTATTGGTTGAAAATTTTCGAAATTATGTCACCTCTCTACAATAAACAATATTGGGTCATAATGTGTTTTGAAATAAAGATTTTGAGGATTAAGCAACTGATTTCAAACAAATTATTATAACCTTATGATAGAATTTCAATCTTTTAAATACTTGGTATCAATTTATCTAAGTTTATGATATGACGTGAATAATTTGGCTCGTTGTGGCCGATCATTACGAACAAAGTATTGATGACATCTAGATACAGAGGTCCAATACTAAAATTACTTTATTTTGACACTTAAATGCCTATAACTTCAGTTTAACTTAAGAAAAGGTATAAAAAATAAATGAGTAATTTATATAATCAGACAATAATAGTATGGCTAAAATATAAATAATCCTTAATAGGGGTATCACTGAAAGCATTGTGGTTATATGGATTTCATTTGCTCGATTACAAAGAACATAAACAGCATTACACACTAATTATATGTACCAATGTTTCAAATCCAAAAGAATCCCAATCGACAGTATTAATCTATAAAAAAAACATAATTATTATTCTACCAATTATTCACCAATAAATAACGATGGTTCAAACTTCATGATACTAAATGTAAATGTTTGGGAATGAAGGCTAACATAGAAATGAGTAGGGTTTATCCCTCTGATATATATAATACGGTGTTGAAAGGCCTTTGTATTTCTCTTGACGTGCACGGATTATCATGTTTTGGCCTCTCACTTTGGGTGGGGTTAAACAAAAGGAGAGTTGTGAATGAATCAGATGTCTTATTATATTCGATCAAATAAAACTAGTCTGGAGAATATGTAAAGATTCTTTACAATTTTCTGTTAGACTATTTCATGTTAGTTACTTGACTGATATCAAGAAATCACCATTTGAACAGTAGTAATATGTAGCAGTAAAATGTTCATGAAATTTTCACTCTTGACACTAATTATCAATAAATACAAAATACATAGATAAAATAGAGGTTCTTCTTGACTATTTCCGTTCATTAAAAGAAGAATTATAGTTTACCTGATTATGGAATCATTCGACTTAGTGGCTAAGATACAAACTTAATTACTACAACCTGTTGTCTGACTACTGTTAAAAACCTAGGATTAAAAAGTCAGTCTTTAATTAATATATTTATTGATAGTCAACATTAACTGAATAAATTAAATATAACATTATCTAAAGATTCTTGTTTTCAATCTCGAACAAGATTGAAATTATTACAATGGGGGGTTTGTGGAGATTGTAGTGATTTTTAATAGTTGAGTTCATGGGTCAATATAAGCTAGATCACCATTGAAAACCTGGAGGCACTGGGCAGCCGTTCCGTCCTAGTATGGGACTCTCATATTAGGAAGAAACGGCCATTCAGTGCTTTCAGGTTTTTAACTGGTGGTTTAGCTTACATCGACTCATGAATTTAACTATTAAACATTGAAATTGTTTACTATCATAGATTTCCAATGATAAATATAAACTAGAATCCATTATTATATACTTTTTATTCATACCTTATGAACCTCAACAAAATAGAATAGAAAAAGCGTTTATGTATTAATCAATATTAGATAAATATTCACACGAAATTTTGTTTTAAGGTAAAGAGTACATGTATGGAAATATTTGAAAAAATGTTCATAAAAAATGAGTAATAGATCTGTTCAGTTAAACTAATTACTGCCAATTCAAAGAAATGTTACTTTAGATCATTGAAGTGATTCAAAGGAATCACCAGAAATACTTAGACATAGGCTTCAGTCTGGCGAGAACCGGTAAAGAAAAGCATTTCTGAAAGAACAAATGTTGACCATAGCATTCTAACCCGGGTCATTACTTATCACAGTTACAGATACTACAGAGTAGCTAGTTGATGGGTTTACAACCTACTTATTACTTTAAATCCTCTAACATCCAATGAGTTGTAATGTGATGTCGGATCAAATGGATTAGAAGTTACATTATATCCAATCAGCACTAAGAGTAGACAACGAAAAATTGGTTTCTACTCAATGATCAACAACAGCATTTCAACGATCTCCACAACCCCAAAGTGAAGAGACTTTGTAATCTGTCAAATAAATCTCCAGTCCTCCTGTTCTTTGTTATACATCAGTATCAAAGGGACGTTAAATTATGTAAATGTTGCGTAATCACAAACGATTATTATAGAATTTGAAGCTTCATAACCTCTTATTATTTTAGATTACGTATCAGTACTAAGATTTATCAGTCTAGACTCTTTTCAAATGATCTGAATTCATTTTTCAACGTTCAGTCATATTTAAACAGAATTAAAACTGCATTATGTTTTTGGTCAAATAATAATCACCATTGAATAATGTGGCATATTAAACAATGATGGCTACATCATTAGTTCAGACAGTCTGTTCTTAATATTAAGTAAACTAACGTTTAAGTTTAGATATTCAGACTTGTGAATAACATGAATCTTGATTATGAAACCTTGAATACAGTTTATTTATTATGTATTGTTTAATTAGTTATTTGAAATTGTTTTATCATAATAGTTTTTAGTGGCCTTTGAAGTTATGGATGGTTACTGATGATTATTTGTAAATTATAAGGAAAAATACTTTCTAGTAGTCTCCGGTTTCCAATAATCCTCCAGTTGATATCAGTTTACAATAAAAACCATCTTCAGTCTATACAAATCTCAACCCCAAAGAAACACATCAGTAGATAAAATGGATAATTTATTATTGAGATTCTAAACGTTGCATAAGTAGGTGGAAAACTACTTCCTCTTATCTCATTTTCGTTTTGGTTCTATGTTATTCACTCCAGTTAATTCTATCCTTTTGGGATGATTTCTTTAATCCACGTTACCTATTTTGTCAAAATTTAGCCACTACATGGAAAAAAATAATACTTGATGGTTTAACTAATAATCTGTCATAGTATGTGACAATGAAAGTAACTGATATGAAGACCTATCAAAAGCTAGAATATCACTGAAAATCGAAGAACACTAGGGAGTTGTTTTGTCCCAATCGACAGCTTTTTCAACATTGGCGACTAACAACACTAACATTACGGATTAAACTTTGGATGTTCAATTCTTGTGATGAACACGACAAAGTTAGACTTCCCTGGGAGATTTATACGCTCTTCAACATTTTAATTTGATAAATTAATGTACGGAGATTAGTAATCTTCTTATTTATAAATATTAATAATATTACTAGTAGTATTATTAGTTTATTTCAAATATCAGATGGGTTTTGTGGATATTATAGTAATTTCAATGGTTAAGATCATGAGTCATTTGAAGCTAGACAAAAATGGAAAACCTGGAAGCACTGGACGGCCGTTTCATCCTACTGTGGAACTCCTCAGCATTGCACGTCCACTATCTCTCCCCCTGTGAGATTCGAACCCAAGACCTACTGGGTTCGCGCGCGAGCACTTAACCATTAGACCACTGAACCGGCATCCAATGGTGTTAATGTCTAACTTCAAATAATCCACGAGATTGAGTGACACATCCATCATTGTCTTCAGTGAGTTACTGTCTCACAACAGACCTGGTTGAACTCCACAATAGGACGAAACGGTCGCTCAGTGTTCCCAAGTTTTCCATGGTGGTCTAGCTTCAACTGACTCATGGTCTTAACCATTGAAATTATTTCAAATAGTTAAAAATTATTTTTAAGCGAAATTTGATCTGCATATTATGATATGAAATAAAATCACAGCTAAAAAGTTTCAATAGTTGAAATCATGAGTCAATTGAAGCTAGCCCACCATGAAAAACCTGAAAGCACTGGAACGGCTCAGTGGTCTAGAAGTTAAACGTTCGCGCGTGCGACCGAAGCTCTTGAGTTAAAAGTTTCTTGTAAACAAATTTTAAACTCAGGAAAGTTTCATAATTGTTGGCAAATTAGAAATAGACAATATACTGTCACCTTGAAATGTAAAACTCTCCATTTACCATGTTGACTTTAAAGTAAGACAAACAGTTGAGAGTTACTTCGTAGGATAATTCAGTGTAATTTGTTTATTCTTGTAGTGTCTTATTGAGCAAATCTTACAAAATCAATGAATGAAAGATGAATGTGTGTACATTTTTTTTTCAAATTTCAATTCTTCATATGTGAAGAATAAAATTCCCAGTAAATATAACTAGATAGATGGAAATTGAACTAAGTTTTTCATATTTTAGCTAGAACTAGTAGTAGTCATAAGTAATATATTTTTTAGCTTTATCATATCCATCTTGACCTGTTTATTCTATTTAACTTATTTGCTTCTTTGGAACTGTCCAATCATTTCTAGATAGAAAATTTTCAGTGAACTATTTTCTCAATTAGTCATGTGTGTTTAGTTGAAGTGATTCGTGATTAAGTGATGGGAAAATTTATTGAAATTCATAATTTTTATTCCCTTTACTGAATCATTTAAGTTTCATAATTCGAAATTTGTTTATTTCTGTTTGTTGTTGTTGTTGCTCCATGGTCTTCTCTTAAAATGTCATTTTCTC